GGGGCCGTACTTCCCCGTGCGCAGCAGCAGCGGGTCGATGTACCCCACGGTGCCCCAGATGGACGAGTCGTTCGCGGGGAGGAACTTCGCCAGGCCCACTCCCCCGACCTTGCAAGACAGGTCCTCATTCAGCATCACGTTTCCGGGCTTCACGTCTTGGTGGAGGATCGGGGGGTCCAGTTGGTGGAGGAAGAGCAGGGCTTCGGACGCCTCTGCAGCGATTCTCAGCCGGTCCTTCTGCTTTAACGTTTTCCGTCCGGATTCCGTCAGCAGACGGTCCTCGAGGGTCCCCGCCGGGAGGGACTCGTACACGATACAGCGTGCCTCGGGATTGTACCCGAGGAGCTTGACGATGTGCGGGTGGTCCGCGCGCGTGAGGATGGTCACTTCGCGCGTGAATTTCTCCGCGGCCTGGCGGGTGTTATCGGGGTTCAGCTTCATTACAAGCACCGGACCCGTCCGCGAGCTTCCCGCGGTACCCCGTGCCGAACCCGCCGCGGCCGAGCGAGTTTTCCCGCGAGTAGCTATTCGTGGCTTCGTCGAGTCTTCGGCGGTGAAGGTCTTTAAACCGGCTGCGTCCCCCATCGTGAAGGACTGGCGTTGCCGCTGCTATTGCTGCTGCTGCGGTTGATGCTGATGCTGCTGCTGCTGTTGATAGTGCCTACAATAAACTACTTCTGCTAAAGCTCTTGCTGCCAAGGAATAATGGCTGTCGCTCCGTGAATAGCGCGACCAAATAATATTGACCCAGACACACGACCGGAGTTTCGATAAGTTGAAAGGAAAACAGGCAGTGATCACGCCGACAGTGATCAGGCGGTTAAATACCCGTTAACAACGGAAAGCAGCAAGCTCGTTAACCGTTGAGATCTTAAGCTCAACAAGCCGGCGGATCTATAGAGATTAGTGATCGTCCAAGCGAAACAACGACGCTAACCGTTGGCATGAACGCTTGCTGCTGTACCCGTCGCCGTTGAAGGAAAGGAGCTCGAGGAAAATAGCGACCACGACCACATGAAGGAGGAAGCTATTCCAAAATGCTTCGGAAATCAGAGAACAAGCGGGAATACACGATTCCCGAAAAAAACGACGGCGGGATTTAGGTACTAGGTAGTTCCCGAAAACAGGAGGAAGCTACACATGAAGGGACTTGAGAAGTTCCGCCCGCTTGAACCGGAGTTGATCCGAGCTAAGGGCCTAGATGCCAGTACAGTATACGTCCGACGGTAGCAGCTCCAGAGAGTCTGAGGAGGTATTGACGGGAGTTCTTATACAGTACAGTATTTGAGTGGAAGGAGGAACAGCCAGTGCGGGCCTCCCGTTTCACTTGGTCGATTTACTGTACAATGGTTGAAATGCCCCTGTTACTGTAGCAAGACTGGCACACTGCTACACCCTACATTACCGTTTCAAATTTACAGTCTACCTCTTTGCGGCAATGTACAGTTTGCATTGTAGAGTTTCAATTCAAGCTATTTTGCTTACGGTTTATCTAGAAAGAGAGGGGTTGTTGTAGCCCAACTACCGTATAGTGTATTTCTTACAGAATAAACACCGGTGGTTATAAATCCTTAGGGGAGACGGTGTGAACTTTCCCAGTCTACGAGAGCTGGCCGCAATCCTGGATGGTGACTTCCACCGACGTTTTCCCGCTGTCGCTACCAACTGACTCGAGCTTGTCAACCACATCCATTCCTGATGGGAAGGGAAAGAAAACAAAAACATTAAATCATTGTGATTGAAAACGTGCGCAAGCAAACGCTTTACCACTATCGGTGCCGACCAACTGACTCAAGCTCGTCGAAGGCGAAGGGCAGCGATGAACAATGCGTAAGATAGCCACCACAGCTACCCATCACAAAGCAACGGCTCACCTGCCACCACCTTGCCAAAGACAACATGCTTGCCATCCAAATGAGGTGTGGCGTTGAAGCAGATGAAGAACTGGCAGTCTGGGGGGTGATTGGGGGGGGGGGGGAAGAGGGGGGGGGAAGGAGGGGGGGGCACGGGAGGGGGGACATTTGAGTCGACTCGAACAACATGCTTGCCGTCCAAATGAGGTGTAGCATTGAAGCAGATGAAGAACTGGCAGTCTGTGGGGTGGCGGAAAGGGGGGAGGCGGGAAGGGTGAGATGGGTGGGTAGGTGACACAATGGAGGGTGACACAAGTGAGGGTGACGAAAGAGGTTAATTGGATCGGAAACAGTGAAGCAGATGAACTGGAAGCCTGTGGGTTGATTTGGGGGGGAGGGGGGGGGGAGTGTGATGCAAATGAGGGTGACACAAGAGAGAGTGCGAGCAGGAAAGTTGTGTGAAAGGAAACTGCAAAGCAATGCAAGGGATGAGAGAAATGAGGCAGGTGTGACAAAGGAGAGTGTGAAGAGGGGTTTTGAAATAAAGCAGGTGGAAAACTACTATCCCGATTCCCCATTCTATTGTACGATTCTTATCCCCATACTCACTATTAGTGTCGGGTCCCCAGTTCGCCGCAGAGAGAACGCCTCTGTCGCTGTGCGTCAGCTCTCTTTTCTCATCAGAAAAGGGCAAAATGGGCACACGTGTGCTGTGGCATATGCATACTTGTTACACTCACTATTAGTGTCAGGCCCCCGGTTCGCCATGGAGAAAATACCGCTGCCACTGTGCTGTGGCCTATCCATAATATAAAAAACATGCTCTTCTGCGTCCACTCATAACAAGTTTTTACACTCACTATTAGTGTCAGGCCCCTGGTTAACCCTGGAGAGAATGCCCCTGCCGCTGTGCCTCAGCTCAAAGTTCCCAATAAGAAAAGTGCATCAGGGGCCACTCGTGCTGTGGCATACGTGTAGTTGTTACACTCACTATTCGTGTCAGGCCCCCGGTTCGCCATGGAGAGAATGCCTCTGCCACTGTGCCTCAGCTCAAAGCTCTCGTCGGGAAAGGGCTGCCCGAAAATGGAGCTCCCGCAGTTACCACCCTGCCACGTGAAAGATGTCACGAGCACCACCAGGCAATGAAACATCCAATAGGGGGAGCATAGAACATGGCGAGACTACTTTTGAGGCGCCTAAAAAATAAACCAGACGTTGAAACATTCGACAGGGGGAGCTGAGAGCATGGTGAGCGGGGAGGGAAGCGAGGTAGAGGAAGAGGACGGACGAACAGGGCGTTCTAGACGGAGGGCGACTGGGAAACGAATTTCTAGAGTTTCTTCTGCTCCAGATGGGGCTCGCGTGGTCTGCATCGATTATTAACTGCGATGGGATGTAGGGGATGTCATCTGCCAGTCAACAACTCTTGCGAGAGGCTTTATGAGAAGTCTAAAAAAACTTTCACTGTGATGGGATGGATGGGACGTCATCCGCGCTTCTGACGAATTCTCACGTAAGTTTCGACGCCTAGCTCGTGCCACGTTCACCGCCTACCTTTGCGTCGACGCTTCGCCACCTCCTGCATGCCACGTTTCGCCACTTGCCTGCGCCATGAATCCGCGAATGAGACGTCAACACTCATGCTAACTTGACGGGACGTAAGTTCCAAACCTACCCTACCTCACGCTTCGTTCGGCACCTACCCCAGGCCACGTCCCACACCTCCCGCATGCCACGTTCCACGCCGGCCTGCGCCATGAATTCGCGGATGGCGCGGCGCAGCGTGAGGCCCTCACGCACGGTTCGACACCCCCCTCATGCCACGATTCACACGTACCTCCTGCGCCGTTATCTGGATAAGGCGGCGACTGCGCGTCAACACTTGGGCCTTATTCGACGCCTACCTGCGCTTCGACGCCTACCTGCGTTTCGACGAGCCTTGACACCTCTCTCATGCCGCCATGCTGCGTTCCAACCCTACCTGCGCCATGAATCCGCGGATAATGCGGCGCAGCGAGAGGCCCTTATGTGCGTTTCGGCACCTCCCCGCATACTGCGCTATTGAGTCGACTCAAAAGCAACTCCACACCTCCCTCATGCTGCTGTTCTTCGCACTGCTACGAGCTGACTTTTGAGTAGGAGGTGGGAAGAACGCAACGACTCAAAACTTTTGAGTCAAAAGTTCTTCCCACCTCCTACGATTCCACACCTACCTGCGCCATGAATCCGGGGATGATGCGGTGCAGCGTGAGGCCCTTATAGCCCAACCCCGAGCTCGTGCCCTTGCACAAGCCGACGAAATTCTCCACCGTCTTCGGCGCCACGTCAGGCCGCAGCTCCACCTCGATTCTGCCGACGAGCGCCCCGTCGAACGCAACGTCCAGGAAGCATCGCGGCCGCGTTGCGGAGCTCATCGTTCGAATCGTACTGACCGTTTTTACGACCTGAACTTAAAGTGTCGCTACGCTTCCTTCCCTCCAGGACTCCAAATTTCCGTCCGCTTTCGCGAAAAGGAGATGACGACGACTGATCGAGGACGGGTACTATCCCTGAAAATTGAAAGTAGCAAGCGAGGGGAAGGGAGCGACGAGCGGTGGCGATGACGAGAGAGGGGTGCTGACGCGACCAGATCTTACGGATTCATTATGCCCGTGCTGTCACGAATGCCTCTACGGATTTACTCCACTGCAACTCGCGTGGAGTGGACCCTATGCCAGACACGAGTTTCCAGATTAGAGGGAGTCCGAAGAAGAGAGTTGACGCCAGCTAAGCTTAGGCGTCAACTTACCCGCAAAGCTCGATGTCAAATGTGGACGTCAAACCTGACGCAAATCCCAACTTCGGACATGCTCACTCGCACAAGTCTGCCCAAAATGAAATACGGTAGAGAGTTTTCCGAACGGGCAAGCGAAAACAATGGGAACCATCAGCATACTGAAAGTTACCACGACACAAACATTTCGTCCTATCCCCTCCAAACGACCAGCAGGAAATTCGCGAACTTATTTTCGCTGGTTCAGTAGGTGCCCTGCGGGTTCTGTGGCAAAATGTCTGGGCTGCCCGAAAATTTGTTGAAACAACACAGTGTGACGTCAAGTTCGACTGCTGGGTTTCGGGAGCCTACTTCGGCCATCCCGGAAATTGGAACTGTAGCGTTTACATTGGTGGTAACCCTCTTTCAGCATCTGTGACGTCCCATCTGTGCTACTTCGGACACCCTCTTAGTTGGAGAGATAGGGGTAACACATGTGTTACAGTTTGGGTGGTTTGAGAAGACAAACCTATGTGTTATGAATTATAACTCTGAGAATAGCACAGTATTCAATAAGGGGAACATGATTACGATGTTGTTGATAGAAATGAGGCATAGGGAATATATAGGGCGATTGACCAGGGTTTAGCACAACTGTTAATATGGATCACCTAAAAGCTTGGCTTACCTTCCCCCAAATATCCTCATCCTCATTAATACGTGCCTCACCATTACTTTTTTGTCCCTCATTTATAAATTTAAACCCAAAGCATATGCCCAAAGCCCACCCACTGTCTCTGGCTCCCGAGTACGGCCTGTCGGCATTACTGTGTTAATTCTCAACAAACGCTTATCGATCACTGGCCGCTACACCTCCCCTGACAAGCGCTTGCTTAAACTTCAACTCAATTTTCTTCAATCACACCTCGCCCTCATCGCCCTCTACCCTTCCCCTCACCCCGCCGAATGACGGACTTGGTGGTCTTTGATAAATTATATCGGTTATATATAATTGTAGGCTTGGTAGGTGTTACTGAAACCTACTGTAGATGGTACAACCCCCTCCTTGTATCCCTCGTAAGGGGCAACCTGCTATGGTACCATGTTAGAACTAGAAAAGCTAGGCGGCCATGAAAGTAGGCGAGAGGGTTTAGGAAGGGACCGAAAGTTGTGGGAGTGAAGGAGAGCATAGCAGTGGCGGCTGGGGGCGGAGGAGCTAGGGTGGAGCCAAGGCTAAACAAAGCAAAGGGTCTTACTCCTGACGTAGCAGGGGAGCATAAACTAGGCACACTGGGCACACCTACACTAGGCAACACGGGGTAATAGGAACCAGTCACACTAGAGTCATCGACATACAACACATATAATGCAGAGCTAATCTCATCTATGTCCATATAAAAGATCCTAACACCACGGTGGAGTAGACTGTGCCAGTTGGGGAGGTCCGGCGCGGGGCCGAAGCGGAGACGACACAGGTTGTCCTGGCGACTGAAACAGCGAATGGACCGGTCCTAACACGAGGCTGCGGCGAGGACCGGTCTGGATCTGGCATCGGCAGTGCCCGTCACTCGCACCACCACCCGACGACGAGCTTCGCGCACGACCACCGCGACCACCACCACCACCGGCGCCAGGTCACCCAGGCGGGAGGCGGCCGACCCTTCGCTACGACTGCTGCTGCTAATGCTGCAGTGGCGGCTGGGGGCGGAGGGTCAGCCAGCACAGGTGGTCTTCTGTGCTCGCCCCCGCCTTCTCCGTGGGACCAGCATGCGACGGCATCATCGACGCTGGTGATTTTAACGCAATTTATGATCATCTATATCGTAACCGCACCCTCATGGCTTACGAAATCTTGGAGGCAGCCACCCTCAACTCCTTGTTCAATAAACACTCGCTGATTGATTCCTTCCGCATTCACCACCCCTCACTTCCTTCGTTCTCCTTCATCTCTCACGCCCACCAAAACGGGCCGTACTCGCCTCCCTCTACCTCCCGTTTGGACCGTATTTATGTCTCACACCATTAGCTGCACCACCTACGTGTTGTTGACCTCCAGACAATAACTCCCCGCTTATCTGACCATTTCCAGTACCGAAGCTGCACAATTACGCTCTCTAATCCAAATGCTGCCCCCCGCCCCTGGAGGCTCCCCCATTCCCTCATCCGCAAACCCTTTGTCTCCCATATTGTGGAAAACTCAATCGCTGCGCTTCCTCCTATCCTCAGGCCATCCGTATGGGACCCCTGGAATCAAAGGCTCTGCCATCTTCTTCGACTTTTCTCGACGGAAGAAAAAACCAGAGTTACCCAAACTGTGCACCACCTCCAAACCACCATGGCTTCCTGCCAATTTGTTCCTCTTACCCTTCCCTGGTAACCCCCTAGCCTCCATACGCCTACATTTATGTTGCAATGCACCCGTCACCCGGAATTGTACATGTCTAGCCGTGCGGCAGATATTGCCCTCAAAATAAAACTCAAGATCGAGGGGGCTCGCGAAATGGGTATCCCCTCTTCGTCCAATCACTTTGATGAATTCTGATTATAAAGTATTGGCCATCTGCCTCGCCAACCGACTACAACCTGCCCTCCGTCACATCATCCACCTTGCACAAGCTGCCTTCATCAAAGGTCGCCGCATTGGCGACACCATCAATGAAACGCTCGACCTTATGGAGTGGGCCCACTTGCACAAACTCCCCATGCTCACCCTCACAGTCGATATTCAGAAAGCTTATGATATGGTTGATCTCAGCTTCATGTATCAATGCCTCGCCCACCTCGGCCTCCCGACCGAATTGATCACATGGGTTCATCTCTTTTATACTAATACCACAACCAAAGTCTTGGTGAACAACCTCGCAAGTTCTACGTTCCCATTTCGTTACGGAGTACGCCAAGTGTCACAACATCGAATGTGTCGGGGAAAAGTTGCACTATCGATTGATACAAGGCGCTTTTATACTTCCAAAGTACATCACATAACCAGGTTTATCCTATCCAAAGGAAATAGACCCTTCTAGAAATAGAATCACCCTGCGTATAGCCACGCGAGGCTATTGGCTTTAAGGGATTACGGCAGGATTACGCTAGATATAGCGCGCCAGTACATCTCGAGCCTGGTCGGTGATATAATCATAATAACATGATAAACCAAAGGATAATGGAATATGAGATATAGGAAACCAAATGAGATGAGAGAAAAAGAGGAATGAAATAGTAAGGAGATATGGAAAGGGAAATTGGTGTAACAGGGTCGTACTCTCACACTTCCCCCACTCAAATCTGGGTGGTAGAAGTAACACCCTGCTTGACAAGGTATTCCCGAAGAGGACGACGAACGTTACGCATCTCAGATTCAGCAACCCAAGTGTCCTCTGAAGGATCATAACCCTTCCAACGAATGAAAAGCTCCACGGTGCCATGCCGACGACGGCGGTGTACGAGCACGGACTCGACCTCGTACTCGGGTTCAGCATGGACGAGGACGGGCGGCGGCTGCAGCGGTTGGCGTCCCGTGAAGACCGTGTTAGGGTCTCGATAGGGCTTCAGAAGTTGGACATGGAAGGCGTTGTGAATCTTCCATGTAGCTGGTAGGCATAAGCGGAAGGTTACAGGAGTGACCTGTGCTTCAACGAGAAAGGGCCCGCAGAAGCGAGGTCGCAGTTTGGATGGGAGACAACGGATGTTGATAGTGCGGGTGTCGAGTAGAACCTGGTCTCCTACGGTGATGGTGTGGTCAGTGTAGTGTCAAATGGCCTGGCGCTTCTGTTGCTGCTGAATGTCGAGAAGGCGCTTGTGGGTCCGATCCCAAAGCTGATGCATGGTTGTGATGAAGTCGTGTGCGGTTTGAATTGTAGCTGATGCCGTCGGTTTGTGTGGCGTGAGCGGGTGGCGTCCGTAGCAGAGGAAAAACGGCGTCTGTCCAGTAGCGGCGTGGGTGGCGTTGTAGTAGGCAAACTCCAGGACGGGCAGATGTAAGTCCCATTTAGAGATTTCGTCTTTGCATACTGCGCGGAGGAGTCGCTCCACAATTTGGTTGAGGCGCTCGGTCTGTCCATCTGTCTGCGGATGGTAAGCAGATGACATGGGGAGTTTGGTCCTGAGCAGAGACATTAGTTCCTTCAAGAACTTGCTGGTGAACTTGGGGTCTCGGTCGGAGATGAGTGTGGTCGGAATGCCATGTTGTGAGATGATGTGGTGAACGAATAGTTGTGCTGCTGCTTCGGAGCGTGCTGTCGTGTGTGTAAGGATGAAGTGTCCCATTTTGGAAAATTTGTCGATGACGACGAGGATTGCGTCATGACCGCTAGTGGTAGTTGGTAACCCGGTTATGAAATCTAGGCTAACCACGTGCCATGGCTGTTCTGGGACAGGAAGAGGCTGTAGCAGTCCCGCTTTTTTCTGCTTGCTGCACTTCATCCGTTGACATGTAGCACACGAGGTGAGGAATTGTTGAACGTCGGCTGCCATGCGAAGCCAGTAGTAGTGCTTTGCAATACTGGTGAGCGTTTTGTTGCTACCGAAGTGTCTCGCGTATAGGACATCGTGGTATTCTTCGAGTAGTAACTGGCGCAAAGGAGGGCAATTGGGTACCCAAATTTTTGTTGATCCGTTCCGATATGCGATGTCACTGTCCCAATGTAGCATGTGTCGGTTTTATGCCAAAGGAATTTCGGGGTTGATGGTGTACCCGTGTGTGAATATTCCCTTGAGAAGTGGGTTCATCCCTTCGACTTGGATTGCGGCAACGTGTGCAGGCCGACTGAGAGCATCTGCTTTGTTTTTGTGGCCGAGCTTGTACACGATGTTGTAATGGAAGTGCGTCTCGAGGAAGTCAATCCACCGGACCTACCGCCTGGAAAGGTTTGGTTGTATCTTCAAATATTTCAGGCTGCAGTGGTCGGTGTAAACGGTTGTTTGTCGTCCTTCGAGATAACATCTCCACGTTTTAAAGGCGATGATGATAGCAAGGGCGTC